TGCACAAACTCCACAATCTAGCTTAAGTGGTTTAACTAGTTAAGATAGTAGTATAGTATTTGGGGCTTTTAACACCTATTTAACAGATATCAGTAATTCTGTGTTGTTATCATGGTGCAGTAGTTTTGCTCTGGCTTTTTCATAAAATACTTGTTATTTCCTGGAATCTAACTGTATTCCCAAGTTTGACTATTTAACCAGTTCAACCATTTAAGCTAACATGGCCATTTGAACAACTTTAAACAATTAAGATAGATTGTGCAATTTGTGCAGTTTAACTATTTTAGCTACTTTGACCATTAATTCAGCTGGATTGTGCAGTTGTTGAATCAATTAACCTAGTTTGAGCATTTGAACTACATGGACCATTTGAGATAGAGAGTGCAGTCTGCAGTTTAACTAGTTGAGATAGTAGTATAGTACTTGGTGCTTTTAACACATATTCACCAGATATCAGTGACTCTGTGTTGTTATTATTTCGCGGTAGTTTTGCGCCGGCTTTTTCATGTAATATTAGTTATTTCCTGGAATCCATATGCTATTATAATTCTTGGAAACTCTACAATGTTTATCTGATGTATTGGTATGCATGGAATCTCAGGAAATATAATCAGACGATAGTAGTTAACATAGTAGTCAAGATAGTGATTATGTATATGATAGTCAAAACGATTATTCAGATAGTAGTGATAGTTAAGATAGTAGCTTTATAGATGATAGAGAACTGGATGATGATGCTTATTACTTTGGTGACAAATATAACATGCATATTTATAGAAAATATACAAGATATTTTAATGGTGGCAGTATATTAAAAGCAGAAGAGGAATTACATAATATGAAACATAATTTAAGGAAACCAAGGATAACCCCTGATCATATTTAAACATATCGTATCAATGTAATTTTATAATATAATGTATTACAATTAAATTATTCATGATGAATTGGAAGAACTACTGTGTCGAAGTAAATAAAGGAATGATCAGTCGTGGTAGAAAAATGTTGGGCCAAACGGTGCTTGAAGAATAAAGACAATGAGATTGTTGGAAAGTAGATGGCTACGAACTAATGAAAGAGTGTTTTAGCTTCCATGATAACAAACATAAAATAATAGGAGGGTTAATATATTTAAGGAATACTATCTGAATAAGGTAATATTTAACCTAACCAGAAAGTGTGACATAGTAATAACCACAAAGAATGAAAATAAGGTAATAGCAGTCTTTGAAAAGACAAACAAGGGATTACCATAGATCCATGGTAATAGAAAACGGATGATTAATATCAATTTCATCATGATATTAAATGATATGCAAATCAATATAGATTACATCAAAATAACCATATCAATGAAAACTCTAATATTTTCACAGCTACTGAAACAATATATTAAAACTAATTAGTAATGGCTACAGCATGATACTTAACAAATAGTTAATCACAAGTAAACTACTTCCTGTACTGTTGCTCGAAAGCATCAACTTTTTGTCCGACATACGTTTCCTATGTCGAAAAGTAGCATCAAAACAAAGACAGTTTTAACAATGACCGATATGTCAAAATCTACTGAGCTTCAAGCTTTTATAGGACAAAAAGATGGTTATAAAGCTACTGTAAAAATTTCCTTCTGTATTTGTGTTGTTCTATCTTGAGACGAACTCAAAGTCCAGCAAAATTTACTTGATAGAGACTATGAAATATATATGGTGCGCCTGCTTGTCGCCACCGTTAACTGGCATAAATCACTACAATTTGCAAAAAAATCTAACATTAACACTCTTACCTTGTTTATTAGCTGTTTCGATGATCACGTTAATTGTGCTCTACCACATTCTAGCCAAATTTGAGTTCCAGTTTATATATCTTCCCTATCTCATTATATCAGTTGCGTGACAAGCGTGACACAGAAATATAAAAATGAATGAACCTCCGAAATACCAAGAGATGGGTTTTTTCCCTCTTTGCATGACATCTAGAAAAACCTTTCAGGAATTACTGCATTCAGAAAACTAAAATGTCCAGATCCATCAATGATTCTTTTGCCGGCTGAAGTCAAAGTAATATTGGTTACAATAGTCAATTTGATTGACAACTACACACTGATTTAGCTAACTGATCTGTTTTATAAGCGTCTCATCTTACATGCTAGCATGGAGATTTGCTGTTTAATTAAATCGTTCGCTGGTGGAACTTGTGGGTTTAGTTATCGAAAAGACCAAGTCGTTCCCTTGCGTGATTGTTAAAAAGACATTTCAAGTCACTTGTGGAGTTGCAAGTTTCAGATCCAGAAAATGAAGTTGATCTTGTTTTGTCGCGTGCCGGCATCTTTGAGACGCCAAAAGTTATCGATGATTTTACAAATTGCCCCACTCGCAGATCAAATCTCAGTGTTGGGTGGAATCGTGGTTCCAAAAGCAGATGTAGGGTGCCAAAAGAAATGTCTGGCCATAGTAAAGGTAGGGTTAAGTCGATTCCAAAAGCTGGTAGGGGAATTGGCAAGCGTGTATCACAGATAGTACTCAAGATGTCTGGAAAAGTCGTACAATCTGGCTTCGGTAAGTAGGCTACTTACCACCGTGAGCAAAATTACGCGTGACGTCAGACTTAAGTTTCGATTGGGAATTGGTCAGAAAGCTACCAAAAATTCAGACAGAGGCGGAGTTTTCTGAACTAATGTCTGAAAACTTTGTTGGCTTTCCGCCGTCTGCGGGGGACACGTAATTATGCACACAGTGGTAAAGGGCCCTTCCGCATTAGCAACTAGACGCTGACAAAACTTGTTTCTCTGGGCCAAAAATCATATCAGAATTTGTCCTTGCAAAATGTCAAGTGTGCTGCACGTATCAGCACCCCCGGGGGACCCCTTTACATAAGAGGGCGGGGGTGCGCGCCTGGAATTTCGAAAACGACCGCTATAAAATTATAAAAGGTACTTAAGTCTTATCAATTTGGGAGTGGCAACAGTTAGCCTGTAAAAACAAGTGTTTATGTCCTTTTCTGTCTTTTCCAATGCTTCCCTCGCTCCTATAGAGGATTCATAAAATTATGAGAGCATGCCATGTTTACATTGCACAGGTAGTGAAAGGCCCCTAAAAGTTTTTATTCCCGGAGCATCACGCTTTGCTCGCCCCTCTGAATACTAAAAGTTTCAGTAGCGTTAAAGCAACAACCCGCTTTTAACTGCTTCGCTGCCGCTGAAACAAAGATTAGTGAAGAAAGTACATATTTTAATATTTTCAAATCTGCGTAAACAAATATCGTTATACATGGTAAATATTCCCTTGTGTCGGTATCAATTATTACGTGACTAGCTTATGATATAAATGAGGGAGGGGAAAACACAACGCAAAACCTGGGCTCCTGTCAAAAAGTAATGCCCAGGCGTAATATAATAATCGAAATGGCTAAGAAAATCATAAATAAACAAGATAAAAGTGTTATGTTAGACTTTTTTAACAAATTGTAGTGATTTATGCCAGTTAACGGTGGCGATAAGTAGGCGCACCATGTATATTTCATCGCTATCAAGTAAATTTTGCCGGACTTTGAGTTCGTCTCAAGATAGAACAACACAAATACACAAGGAAATTTTTATAGTAACTTTATAACCATCCTTCGGTCTTTTAAAAGCTTGAAGCTCAGTAGATTCTGTCATATCGGTCATTTTTAAAACTGTCTTTGTTTTGATGCTACTTTTCGAAAAGAAAAGTATGTGGGACAAAAATATTCACCAAAAAATAAAAATTGCTTTGCCAGCTTCAATAACGACAGGGGATTAAGTTTAGATGATAAAACAAAGGATCATGTTCACAGAAATACCGTAGGTCTAGTACATTCCTCACATGAGGTCGCACAACTCGGGTAATATTCACGGTGAAAGTTTGCATATTTGAGCAGTCGAACGAAAAAAGTCATTTCTCGAAAACTAAAATATATTTTCACAAAAAAACTACACCACAATTATTAGAACGTATCGGACTACAAAATATGAAAGTAGGAGAGAAAACGAATTTTGGGCGACTTGCCACAATACTTCAAGTTTGTTCGATGGATGCTGACATCCTCTCTTAAAGACTTTTTTAAACAACCAAAGCTTTTTATGATAGTATTTGTATAATGATGTTATTTCATTTATTGTGGTTTTCTTCAACGATTTATCTATATGACTGAAGTTTATAACACTCCTCTTTTTGAAGCTCGTATATAATACGCTTACATTAATCATATGTCCTTTTATTGTTAATTGAGGATAAAAGCCCACCATCGAGAGTGCCATTACCTACACCAAATGACATCGAACGACCAGTAAATGTTCCAAATATACCAGTGTATTGCTTACTAATGGATCCAGAAGTATCATGCTTTGTAGTGAAAATGTGTTGCAGGCCCCTTGCAACCATATCTTTAATAAGATTCGTAGGTTCCATCCATGAATGGCACAAATGACCAAATCTTGTGCATAAGCCACACCTGACCTATTCTTCAATACTAAATCCATCATCACACAATTAGGTGTTACATTATTGTACTTGTGCATTTGAACCAGTGATCTGGTATGATCTGCAGATTTATTAGTTGATACCCTGGAAATTGACTCAATACTACTTGTGGCAGATATGTCAAATGATAAATGGTCAATAGTCATGGCCAATAGATGCAGAGGGGAAGTATCATTCACATGACGTGGTTTTCTTACACTGTATGTAAGTTTAAAATTACCTGTCTGTTGTCTTGTAGTGTGACCAATTTCAGCACGTTCCTTCAAATAGGACCAGGCATGTGGTTTTTAAATAATTCTGCCAAAACATTTGTGCACCCCTAGCATGGAACATCCTCTTTGGCACCAGTAAGACAAACCTGATGATAACATATCTTCCCGCAGCTGCAGCATTAGCTCTGAAAATCACATTATCATCACTTTTTACTGTCACATCAGTGTTAACTTTACCATTGGGACTTATTTTTTTCTGCTAAACTGTCAAAGAAACCAAATATGTTTAGCTGTATGATGACATTGACAGGAGCAGCAGCAGTTGATGCTTATAATATCTTCTGCCTTTTAGCAAATCCATCATTATATGTTGCCATATCTGTTGGGAGCAACGTTTTGTGTTGCAATCAAGTTGCCGCGTGGTATACTTCTGCATAACAGCACCAGTTTTTTATCCACATAAGCCACACAGTTGGTCCAACTTTATCACTGTAATCTTTTAAAAACTCTCCAAGATTTTTCACATTAGTGGCATGATTGATATTGATACCTGGTGTGTCAATACAGTTGACACCACTGAATTGCCCCTTTAATCATAACCATTACAATTTCCTCAAACGTGATTGGTGCATTAGCTGCTTTATTTTCCACTAATCATTCTGTAGAGCTGTAATCGGACAGTGTAATCAGACAGTTGACCGTAATCGGACACCTGTAGTCGGACAGTTGAAGTAGCCAATTATACTAAGCTCACTCAGCTAAAGCCACCAATCACAGAATCGATCACAATAACCATACTAACAACCCCTTATCGTAAGAAAAGCGTTGAGAAACTTCCAAAATGGAATATTCTTTACTTTAGACATAATCCCCGCCAGAGATATTTGACCTACATGTATAAGTTGTTTTTTCGGAAATTGTAAGTCAGTCAGTCATATCTTTTTCAATATTTGGACGATCAAAAACTCATCTATATAATGAGATAAGATAATTTTAATAGTTTAATAATTTGTTAAATTGTGCTGATAGAGTGTTTCCATAAATTTTATAATCTTAGGCTTGTTCAGTTAATGTAAATATTTAATGATATCCCACCTCTATTTCCTATTTCTATGAGTGCGATAGGTGGTTGTTTAATAGTTTTCACCTGGCTCAGCCGGGAGGACGCCTATAGGCCGGCTTTGATTCAGACGCCTTACTTCCACTGGGCTGAACCAAATGCATAAATCATCTTAATGTAATATACTTGTTCGTGTTTTAGGCATGACCAAATGTACTTGCTAGAAATGTAAGTATTCATTATTCAATTAAGTATTCATCTCTCCAGACCATTTCATTCCGTGGTTCCTTGAAATAGCACCTCTCAACCCGAAGGGGCCAAGAATTCTGAAGACTTACAACCAGCTTGTTCCACTTCACTCTTAATTGGCCTTCCGAGGTGTCATTCCACTCGGCTACATTCGAACAAAGATCTTGGAAAAGTAGTTTGAACCGCACAATAACTGGTGATATGAAACGAATTGGGTCATAGAATTTTGCTGCCACAGCAGCAGTTCCTCTTGGTAGGTCTGCACTCTAAGGCTATTCAAGCAACTGTTCCCAGGTCAAAAACGAAATTGTCTTCCACAAAATTTTACTGTACGATTTGCCGCTCTTCTGTGCGTCTCCTAATGAAGTCTTGGTGTATGACTATTCTTCACGAACTACCAATTCCACTGTGGCTCTGTCACTGACCAACACATCTTCGAGGATTCCGCTGTCATACATATCTTTACCAGTAGATAGGATAGGGCTAATCTTGCGCAACTTGCTCTCATTATCATCTATTTGTTTCCTCAACTCAGGAGAGTTGGTTACAAACTTTCTTAGATGGAAACCCCCTTCTGCCAATCTGACTTTAGATTTGATGTTCAGTTCCTAGGTTTCTTCATCAGTGTCTCCTCCTGAGCTCAGATCATCCACGTAGATTTACCCTAGAAATGTCTCAACAAACGCAGGGTCCTCTTCTGCATATATTTCCACGTGTTGTTTCACAGTTGCATTTAGGAGAAATGGGTTTGAAGACACGCCAAACACAACTCGTGCAAATTGCGGCACAATTACTTGAGGATACTCTTTCTTCACATTATCAAACCCCAGGAACCTCAAGACATCTCTATCTTCTTCTGATACTGACACGTTCAGGAATACCTTGTCAATGTTTTCAGCCAGTGCCTTTCTGTGTGTTCAAAATCTCAGGGAGATGTCCATGATATTCTGCGAAAGTGCTGACCCGGTGTATAGACAATCATCCAAGGAGACTTGGTTTGACTTACAGGACGCATCATAGACAATTCTGAGTTTTTTTGTCTCTTTGTCTCTTCTAATCACAGCATGATGAGGCAGGCAGTGAACCCTTCCAACTTCACTAGAGGTTGGTTCACTGACTTTCTCCACAATCATCTTTTCGATCTAGTCTCTGATCACGGCATCGTATTCTAGCAATACTTGTGGTTCTCGTCTCAGGCGGTTCAACAGACTCATCAGGCGTTTGTGGCTGGTCTCATAGTTGTCTGACAAAACTGGGTGAATGTTCCTCCATGGTAGATGTACTTCATACCTTCCTAGCTGAAGGGAGATGCAGGCAATGAAGTGACTATGATCTGATTGTTCAAGACTCGACATTCGCAATGACTCCAGGTCCCAGAAGCGTTCGAACTCTCCAGTTAGGTCATTGTTCAGAGGTTGGGACGGTTTGGTAGCACATCTTGGGACATGGGTGCTGGAAACCAAGTTTACAGATGAGTCACACTCACACGTTGAGCTCTCTATTGGGTCCACATAAAACGCAACCCAACCTTGTATGTAAAGCTGTTGGACCACTTTCTCCTCTTCTCACTTCTCCTGTGACGATTTGCCGGTATTGATGTCCACTTCTGCTGGCTCTGCTCCTGTTGAGTAATCGGCAAGGTGAGTTCCATTTAGGTGCTTGTACATGTTCCTTGCCAGGGCTACTGACTGACCAGTTAGTGGTTAACAGATGAGTGGTACAGAATAGGGTAACATCTTCATATCTGTTCCATTAGGTAGTTTAACACCAATGCAAACAGCATCACAAGTCTGCAACTTCTTGTCTTGTGACCCAAATGTTTTGATAAGCATTGTCTTTTGATATTCAGCCGGTAAACTTAGCTCATCCTTCAAACGGTTTTTGATGTATGATCTCTGACTCCCATTGTCCAGAATTATTATAGCCTTCACACCTTTGTCTTTAGATCCCGATTTATAGATAATGGCTTGAGCTGTCTGCAGAGGGACTGGTGTTGCAGAACTAATGAACATGGTTACTTGGGAGTGATCGGACTTTGGCTGATCTTCTGGGTGTACATTCTCCCTTTTCTCGGGTTTCGCACATTGTTCCCTTGTTCCAGTTTTCAGCAGGTTGCTCTCACAGATGCTGACATGATGAGGGCCACCACATGTGAAACATTTCTTGTTAGATTTGCATTCTCGGCTCAGATGGTCCTTCCTGAGGCACACAACATCTTGCGGTCTTCTTAACAATATCTCTTTGGGCTTGTACATTCGAAATGGTCTCACAGCTATTGGCTGCTTGCAATAGGTACAAGCTGGCTGGTTATTTGACTTAGAAAATAGTGAATAGGCAGAGGGTGGGCCTTTTCAATGCGGTTTGTTCCTTCGGAACGGTGGGTCTGGCCGTGGATTGTGATTTCCCTGCGTGGCTCTCTCCCTTGCTTCCAATTCTTGATGCATAACTGCCAAAAGGGGGTCTAATTCCCAGCCTCTTCCCCTGACCTCCCTGCTAATGATCAAACTAACTTCTTGTGGTACCTTGTTCATCAAAACAGATGAAAGCAAGCTACCATAAAATTCTGATGGTACTCCAAGAGCCTTAAGACCCCGTACATGAACCTCCACTAAGTCATAGAGCTGTCTCAAGCCCCTTAGGTCATAACTAGAATAAACATGTGCCATGTTAATGAAGTCATCCATATGTTTGTTTAGAAATATGGTCTTCAGAATAGCAGTGGCCTCTTCATAAACTGCATTTGTAATGGCAAGACTTGCAATTGCCTCGGAAGCGGTTTTCTCCTGGAGAGAGTTGAGATAATAAAACTTGTCAACTGTCAATAGCTTAGAGTTTTTATGTATTTCTGCCTCAAATGTGTCCCAGAATGAACACCACCTAGAAATATCTCCATTGAATTTCTTCAAGACTAACTTCAGGAGTTTAACTTGAGAGCCTAAATCATGCGCTTGACTTTGAGGTGAATCATTAGAAGGAATATTCACATGGCTTACCGACTGCGCGAGCTCATCCATCGGCTGTGTGTTGGCTTCTATTTTTGGAGATATGGCGGCCAGCTCAGACCTCACAAAATGATTTTTTGTGAACATTGCGCTCTTCTTTGCGCTTAAAATAATTTAATTTCGAAAGAATGCATTTCTCTTCAGTAAAAATACTTCGTGAATAAAATTAATTTTCACCATGTACTAGACCTTCAAATGGATTAAGCTTTTGGTGATTGAATTTCGAAAGATGTTCTCAATATAACTGTAAAAATTTGTTTGAGCAAATGATTGAGAGCGATACAAAAGCTTTTCAAAGTCCATCAAAATACAGTTATTTGACCTTTTGCGGTCAACATTCCAGTCGCGAGTCACAAATATTTCAACATGTTTCAACCCATATGAGGCCGAAAAATGTACATAGAAACATATTTCCAAATGCTCTAGCCTCATTTGCCGCAGACTACCAATCCAGAGACCATTTTAGTGACATTCTCGTATCGTTCGTCGTATTTAGGTCTGTATAAACGATAACGTTCGATGAAACCACCAACCCTGTCGAACACCATCTTGTTGTCAAACGTTCGATATCTTTCTTCACTGTGGCATCTTATTCAACGGTTCAGTTCACTGGGAGTATTGCTCAGTTTACAATACAGTAAAAGATTACATCTGACAGTCTAATTAAATGCTAACCTGAGTTGACAACAAACATGTACGCCCCTTGAGTATTTGGGTTGTCACGCAATACCGGTGACAAAGGAACTTTAGGGGGTAGGTGAGAGCAAAACTCCATATTAAGCACTATCAGAATTGAACTCTTGGAATCTACAAAATATTTTATCCTGTGAACATTTTTGTAATAGTGTCGTCTTCGTCTGGTGACAAGCAGTAAAATACATTTATTTATTGCAGGGAATTATTCTTTTGGCGCTCTCTACCCTTCGTACTTATTAGGGGTGTTTTTCTTTCCACTAAAATTGCAAGGAATACCCTAATAGCATGAAAGAGAACCTTTTGCACATTTTTACAGCACCATGCTACAAAACGCAGTGGTGGGGATCTGTGGCTAATGTGAGGCAAGGATGCTATGTATCGTGGCCAATAGGTGGGGCTTGTAAAAGGGAGTGGTACTATTAACCACTGTTAACAGACGCAACTACCGTTTAAAACCCTAAACTACACAGAGGCCGCTTGTGTTAATTAGCGCGCGGGGTTTCTAGCAATGATAGGGTGCTCCGCCGATTCTCAACTGATCGGCGACAGTTATATCACCAGCGGAACTTAGTTGTTTACTGATGGGTCGGCTTTATGCAGGACGGTAGCTCTTCCTTCTGACAAGTGTATGGGATCCAGTTCTTCTCGACTGTTGGGTATTCTTTAAATACAGCAGCCGGCGTACTTATCATGACGGATGGTTGGGCCATAGACAGTTCACCGTCCCCTATTTTTCCGTGTAATTGTTGGGATCTATCGCTTTCGTACGGCGCCATATTGATTTCATATAGCAAGAATACAAATCGCCTGTGGAATGGGGGGTTGGGGAGGCGGGAGGAAACGGCCCTCCCCACAGGCAATTTATACTCTCCCAAGCTTTGGCTCAGCATATGAAATCAACATGGCGGCCACTCGAACGAAGGTAACCGATCCCGACAATGCGAACAATCTAGCTGGGTCAATAGGAATTAATACGTTTTAGTTATATCTTACTTAATAGCCATTTTCATCTTACGTTTAGACCATTATTTCTGTACGTTCAGTAGTAAACACAATCACTGTTGCTTGCTACGACATCTTGCCCCTGATTCAGTCGACATGAGGTACTTTTGTACTGGTTCTCTCTTCCTTGATTTCTCACTTTTAAGTAGAGTTTTGCAGCTGCAGCTGTCAACTAAAGTCGCCAAGAGGTCTATACAGGGCTTCTTCCGTTTAATGTTTATTGACGAAATGTCAAGCTGATAATAATTACAGATTTTCTGCAGCATCTGTTCAAGGGACTTTGAGAGTTTCGAGCATGCAACTTATTCACAAATGTTATGTGTATCATACATGATTGGATGTTGAAGGGATATTTCTACCATGATTTTAGTGCTTAAATCTTGAATACTTTGTTCTTGCATTCTTTCAGTCTCTCCCTCATATTCATCTTCATCCTCTTCATATTGAACTGGAACAACTTTCTTTGCAACAAGGCGTGAAAAGAAGCTTGCTACTTGCTGTGAAGTAAGATAGCTTGAAGCATCGAAAGTAAAGGAGCCATCTGCGTTTCTAACCTTTCTCATTAACTTAGAGACATTATTGGGAACAGCTTTGTGCCCAGTCTGTTCGCCGGTTTGAAAGACGGCAGTAAGATATTGTTTCTGGCTTTCCGTCCGCCGATTCCTTTGAGTTCTGGATGATTTCAACGCCCAGCCCATCTGCAATGGCGAAGAGAAATCCAATGACTGAGGTGTTCCAGTATCATCAATAGGGGCTTAAACTGTGGCAACACCCTGTTCTAGCTTTTCGGCATACGTTTCATGCTCTAAAGCGTAGCAGTGTCATCCAGTATCAAGATGGTATTTGAGAGACGAAAATCTACACGTCCCTCTTCAGGACATGAAAACAGTTTATCGTGGCACTCTGTTTCTTCGTCATGCGATTGATCTACAGCTTCCGCCTGACCCAATGCGAATTGCTCTTGCTGCGTTTTTGCCAATTTTTGCGTTGGTGTGAGTGCAGTAAACATAGCTTTTGGAGAAGTAGCATCCCCAAGTAGGTTAAGCACTGATGCGGAGTAGCGTTCTCGATATCATGACCAGAGTTTAGGAATCTCCTCATATGGCTCTTGATGGTGTTTGCTTTGCGTCACACGAACCTTTGCCCCCTTGTGGATCTGAGAAGTCCACTGTGATGCTGATGTCATACTTCTTTGCTACTTGCTCAATTACCAGTAATGTGGACGCACTGTGGTAGCATCCAGCATTATCCTGTCTGAAGTGCACGCGATGTAATTCAGGCATTGTTGCTTTGAGCTGTTTCAGGACGTCATCTACAATAGCCAAAACTGTGACACTGTCTTGATTACAGCTTTGAAAAATATGCACAAACGTCATCATTTATAGTCGACCTTCGGACTTTCTCATAGCAGTGGCTATATGCCAAGAAATTCCTCTCTTTCCAAACCAATGCTATGGTTGTCCCCCAGTTTGTCAATGACATCTGCCAACTCGTCAAAGGCCTTTGCTCCCTCTGCTGACGCGTAATTGAGTCCTGGCAAAGACGCGCACAGAGGCCGAACAAACTTTAAGAATCCCACACAGTGTACTGTGGCTCATTGAAACAAACATAGTCTCATAACAGTAACTCTGGTACTGTTGGACAATCTGCTCTGGGATCATGGTTCTGGGATCTTTGTCTCGGTGATTGAGGATAACTTCCAGCTTTTCTCGCCGAATGGCAAATCTTGCGTTACATACGCACTGGTAATAAATGTTGAGAAGTGGTCAAGCTTCAGTGGTGAGACTTTCATTCTTGTGTTGTTACTTAAAGGAACAGTTGAGCCTCTACCATGGAGTAACACATGATATTTGGACAGATTAGGGATCCATCTTTTGCCAGTAATAAATAATAAAAAAATAAATAAATAAATAAAACAATACTTCCAATAAAAAAAAAACAATTTGGATTTAGTGGTAGCTTATTTTGTTTATGAAGTTCTGTATAAAAAAAAAATAACGAGCAGCAGATTTTCGAAGATTAGACTTTTATATTTATCTTATCCGTCCCATACCCAGACCTGTACTCGTTCGGAATGATCTATTCGATAAATATAATTATATTTAGTCATCTTTCACTAGCGACTGGAATGTTGACCGCGAAAGGTCAAATAATTACGTTTTAACGGACTTTGAAAAGCTTTTGTATCGCTCTCAATCATTTGCACAAAGAAATTTTTACAGAAATATTGAGAACATCTTTTCTTAATTCTACCGCCAAAAGCTTAATCCATTTGAAGGTTCAGCACATGCTGAAAATTAACTTTACTCACAAAGTAATTTTACTGAAGAGAAATGTATGCTTTCGAAATTAAATTATTTTACACGCAAAAAGGAACGCAGTGTTTACAAAAATCGTTTTGTGAGGTCTTATGAGGTTAAAAAGAAGATTTAAGTGTTAAAAAGACGAGATAGTGATTCGTTTTTGAATGCGAATCCCTCAAACTTGTGCAATAATTTGGTGCTAAAAATGGGAGTTTTAACGGAATTTTATTTGTACTTTTCTCTGAAATAAAGAGATATTTTGCCCAAAAAAATATCCAGTGATTTTATTTATAGTCTAGCCTATCTAATATCAAAATAAGAAAGAAATCGAATTTTTCACCCTAGCCGCGAAATTAAGAATATGTCTGATTTTTACAGACAAGCGCTCTTAAGATAGCTTGACCATTTCAACTACTCCAACCAAGAAAGATGGATTATGCAATTGGTGCAGGTTAAGATTTTCCCTAGTTTGTCTATTCAACCATTTGAACCAACTAAACCGGTTCGACAATCTTGACCACGTCAACCTGTTAAGCTGGATTGTGCAGTTTGTGCTATTGAGCCTTTTAAGCTAAATTGTGCATTTTGTACAGTTGAATTATTCAAGCCAAGTTAACCATTTTAACTACTTCAACCAATTAAGATATATCGTGCAGTTTGTGCAGTTAAAAAGTTTTTCCTTGATTGATTGTTTTACCAGTTAAACTGATTAAGCTGGTCATGGACTTTGTGCGGATGAAGCATGAAAGCAAGTTTGGTCATTTGAAGAACTTAACCCAATTAAGTTAGATTTAACTGTTTTCCTTAGTTTGACTATTTGACCAGTTTGACTATTTGTGCAGTTGATTAATTGATACTTGTTTGGACCATTTTAATTGCTTGCAGTAATTAAACTAGATTGTGAAGTTTTCGTAGTTGAGGTATTTATGCTAGGTACGTATTTTGTGCAGTCGAACCATTTTATCTAGTTTATCTAGTTTGACCATTTGAACTAATTTAACCAACTAAGATAGATTTTTCAATTCTTGAAGGTTAACCGTTTTACCTAGTTTGACCACTTTTACCAGTTGAACCAATTAAACTAGTTTGATTATGTTAACTACCTGAATCAATTAAACCACATTGCGCACACTGTGCAGTTGCGCTATATTAAGGATAGTTAGGCATTTTGTCCGAAAAATCGTTGAACGGAACAAACCGCCCAATCTCGTAATTGTGTGAAGTAGTTCAAATGGTCAAATTACCCTCAATTGTTAACTGCACAAACTACACAATCCAGCTGAATTGGTTCTAGCACTTTAAATGATCAAAACAGCTTAATTAGTTCAACCAGTTTGATAGTCAAACCAGCGGGGACAGTTAAATGCACAAATTTCACGTTTTATCTTAATTGGTTGAAGTCGTTCAAATGGTCAAACTAGCTTAAATGGTTCAACAGGACACAGTGCATAACAAGCTTAAATGGTTTCATTGTAGAATCTTTACAAGATTTAGAGACAAACAAGCAGAAAACCTTTTTTCATTGCGACAACGCTTCAAAAGCGCAAAAAACGTTGCTTCTGGTGGGATAGAGCTCACATCAATGCGATCAGCTGCAAACAGGCGAAAGACCATTTATACAGCGATAAGGCAGCGTCATTTAGCAACAAAAAAGCAAAAAAGCCTCTTTACAGACAATTTCTACTTTCCGTAAAGATGCGTAAATGCAGAGAAAGTGTAAAGACTGCTTAAAGGATATAGAATGTTCGTAAAAGATAAGGATCAAGATGGACATAATTAACCACTTTTTATTTAGAGAAATACTCAAAGAAGTGAAATAAGTATGGTTCATCCATCTTCAGTAAAATTACCGAGGTATTTTTACCAGTTTGGCTTTTAACGCTTTACCCGTCTTTAATATTCTTTAGGCATCTTTGCTCACTGTCCTTTACAAACCTTTAGCATTCTTTACGCACAAATCAATCTGTTAGATCTGTAGTTATTTCAAAGGTAGGAATAACCCTTAGCTTTTGGCCGATTTTGATAATTTTGCTCCAGGAATATCCTCTTCGTTCAGCTCTACTATTAAAAAATTCTCATACCTCACGAAGAGAATCGAGTGAAGCACTTCAGCTGGAGAACGTGGATGAAAAATCCAAACCAAAGACATACACATTAATCAGTGGTGCTGAGACTTGAGTTCAAGGCACGTGAATAAGTTATCCATTTTGTGCGTGTTAATGGTAGCAAACTTGCCAAGACGATTAAAGATGGTAAAAACACTGTCGATGAAAATGCTTATAAAACACTGTCAATGAAAATGATTATAAATTTGAAAGATGATGAAGCTTTCCTCACTTGAGAAAAGTTTATCTTTTTCGTTACATAAAATGGAGAGGGTGACAATAGTTCAATTGATAGCGGGAGCAAAATGTCGCGGACAGAGAATTTACTCAAAACAATGAAAGGCTTAATTGATTGATCTTTTGGAAAAACCAATCCCATTGCTGAGAACGAAACCAACACTTTCTTGAAGAGAGAAAGGGAAAGATCGAATGATTCATTAAGAAGCTTAGAGTGATTAACCAAAACCTGAAAAATAACAAGAAGAAGAAACGCAGTACTCTGTAAATGTAACAAAAAGATTCACTTGTAAACGGAATAAATGAAGTGAGAGGTTTTTATGTGAAAACGTCCTCAAATTATGGCTCTCGATCAGCTGGCGCTTAGAGTGCGAAGTAGTTTTAAAGATAAGGTCTCTAAGAGTCCATGGAAAAAGCTAAACGTGAATTCTCGCGACTCCTGAGAAAAAAATCGTCAGACTAAGGCTAAGATGTTCCTCTCTTGTAAGATGGTGAGAAAAAACGAGGATGGATCAGTCAAGTTTAGTTCTCACATGTCCACATCAAATTATTTGATAAAATTTAGGCGAATGATGAAAGAGGAGTCCTTAACATCCTCTAGGAGACGCTGGAGGTGGATTGGCCATGTCACCCGCCAAGAAGCTTCCATTGCAAAAACTGCTATGCATTGGACGCCAGAAGGGAAACGCAAGCGGGGTCGCCCCAAGATCACATGGCGACGGACAGTTGAGAAGGAAATAAAGGAGATGGGGAAGACCTGGGAGGGCATCAAGTTCATGGCAAGGGATCGCCAGATGTGGAGGGAACACGTCGCTGCCCTACATGCCTGTTAGGCGTAAAGGGCATGATGATGATGATGAGAGAGTAATGTCACTTGATACATGTTTCACAGAGTATAAACTAATAGGGCGATAATGTACCTGAGAAATAAAGATGATGATGAGCGATTCAAGTGTTGCATCACAAGAGTGCTTAGAATGGTTGATAAAGATCCTTGAAGGATCACAAGGACATTTAGGTAGTTCACCACAAAAACCTCAAACGAGATCTCGA